AATAGTGGAACTACCCCTCGCTTGTGTGGGATAGCAGCGGCTCTTCCTGAATAGAGGTGGTGATCCATTATCTGCCTTGTAGGGCTTGTGGGTGGGTAGGACATAGATATATATGGGTCGCTGGTGTGAGGTAAAGAGAGAAGAAAATAGTGTAGGGAGAACAAATACAACTGTCCCCAAATGAGGAGAAGACAGCTGTGTGTTAAAAAAAAAAAAAAAAAAAAAAAAAAAAAAAAACTCCTCGTCAATCCTTTTTGAGGAAAGTAATCAATCAAGATTTGAGCTGCTGTAAAAGAGTGAAGCGTTGAGCAGGTATGTTGCAGGGATGCTGGACCTGGTTTCCATAAGGTGCATCTGCCCACGAATAGAGAGGAGATCTTTGTTTAAAAAAAATAAAAAAATTAGCTACAGCAAAAGGACGGTGGTGGCGGTAGTGGGAAAAATGCAAGGAACATGAGTATGGACGAAGCACAGAAATCCAGAATGCAAAATCACACTGAAGTCCAAGTATTCAAAGCCAAAGCAGATAGCACATGGAACCGAGTAACCATCCCATTGAGAATGATACAGAAGAATCGTGAGTCAATGTCCATGCCCAACAGGGCAACACCAACAGCATAACCCAAATGTAGTAACCATCCCATTGAGAATGATACAGAAGAATCGTGAGTCAATGTCCATGCCCAACAGGGCAACACCAACAGCATAACCCAAATGTAGCTCTCTCTTGTGAATGGCGCCAGGCGCCCTATCTACTCTACAGCCTATCCTACAACTACAGCAATGAACAGCAACAAGACAACTTGACTACCAGCGAGTGATGATGTCAACACCAATGCCGCATTCCACCATCACCAGGTACGTGTCATCTTCCCCACACTCTCCCTTGTTACCCACACAGCGCCCTTCACCTCCGAAGTACCACCTTCGCCCTCACCTCCCCTGCACCCTCATGCGGCCCGGCTATGGCCGCCAGTGCCCTGCATGCAGGCAGCGCCCTACCGCCTAGCGCTGGCCTGCTTCCTCTTAGCGCAGCGCTGCTCTTCATAGCGCAGCGCACTTGCATCTGCGCAGCGTGCCCCCATACGCCAGCATTGGCCAAGATTTCCGCTGCCTCGCCCTGCTTGCCTATATGCCCGTGCAGCGTGTGGGCGGCCTCCCTTCAGCCTGTGACCGGGGCCCAGAGGCTGAAGCCAACTCGATACAGTTGGGCCCCGGGGTGAGGCAGTTGCGCCGCCTTCATCAAGGCCTGCGGCCAGATTCAGACAGTGGGCCGATTTCCCTTTGGTATTTCCGGCCTCTCTTCCCAGCATGCATTGTCGGCCTCACGTTCAGATGCCCAGGGCCTAACCAACTCAGAGGCCCTGGGCTTTCAGCATTTGCTGAAATCCGAGACTCGGTGCACTCCAACCAACTGGCGTGCTGCAACTGTATGGACCCCACTTCGTGAAATGTTGCACAGAGGGCTCTTGTCGATTTGCTGGCCCGCCTTCACTTAGGGCGGGCACTAGGCTTGCTGGGGCCTTAGCCCAGAACATGTACATCATGGCAAGGCCCCTACTTGAGGGCTCAATCCTCACAAAAAGAAAAAAGAAAAAGAAAAAAGAAAAAGAAAAAAGAAAAAGAAAAAAGAAAAAAGAAAAAGAAAAAAGAAAAAGGACGGTGGTTTATACCTTAGAAAATTGCATGGAGCCCACTCGATGTTTGACAATGATGAACAATAGAAGCAAGGCCACAAACAACCAGAAAGTTAACCGTAAAAAAAAAAAAAAAAAAAAAAAAAAAAAAAGATAATCAAAGTATGACCAAAGAGACGTCAACCTCATCTCCTTACAAGGTGTGTCCTCTCTGTCATCAAGGAGTCAAAGGACAGACTCATTCTTCAAGTTGAGCCTTTTCTTATCTGCTCCTTTGCATTGCATCTTCATTCCACACTCCGTACTTTCCCTTACTTTCCCTTTTCCGGTCTTTGTTTCTCATCCCTTCCTCTCTCTTCCCTGTGTTTATCACCACCCCCTTTACTCGGCCGCTTTCTCACAGCGTACAAGTGGGCAGTTATGGCGCACGGGGATGTGGACAGCTCGCGCGCAACTTCATCAACGTGGCGAGCCTTGTACGTGAGAGGCACAGTGAACGAGGAGTCAAAAGAAGAACGAGAAAAATGAATGGCTTCAGTGTGCCCCTAATCTTTTGTCTTGTCTTGTTTTTTAATCTTTACCGCTTGTTTCGCAAAGTGCACTCTTTTAGTTTATAGTTATGTGACAATGTATATCGTCACAGCCCCTCGTTTGTTGTCCCCCCCTCCCTTTCTTGTCACAGACCCTCGTTTGTTGTCCCCTTCTCCCTCTCTGCCTACGGTTTACCGTAGGCAGCTCTGTTTAAACATTATGCAGCGTCAAACCGCACTGACCGGTAAGCCGTAGCAGAGAGGGAGAGGCGGACAACTAACGAGGGACTGTGACAAACTGTTTCGTCAGAGTTTTGGAGTTCCAATCATAGCTTCAATAAGGCTCAGACCTGCAGGTTGAGTGAAGACTCCAGTGCCAAACTCTTACAATCTCTCTCTCTCTCTCTCTCTC